AAAGACCCTTCTCATATCTAAAGTGTGTATACTGTGAATGTACTCCTTTTTTACCGTGTAAAAAAAGTTAACGCGATAACTATTCGATGAAAATCAATTTAAACCAGAAACTGGTAGAACAATGGTTTTATCGTGAAAACTCGGTCTCCAGACCCTATCTTCCAGCCAATTTGTCGCGTCTGTTTGTCTAGCCAGAACAAATTACAGACCAAACAAGAGGAAGAAAAAAAACATGACCGGAGGAATGAAGGCCAAAAAAATTAATTTCCTGAACGAAAAAAAAATTCCATCACTGGCCAAATAAAATTAAAGGCCAAAAAAATATTAAATAAACATGGGAGGTTAATAATGTGAGATAATTAATGGTGACCCGATTTAATATGCAATACAGCCACTCGCTGATGAGATACTGAGGTAAAATAGAGGCGTATCAGTACACCTACAGGGATCAGCTTCGTTCTATATGTGTAGGTCCTTATAGGATTTGTATGTGTAGGTTCTATATGTGAAGGACCTGTATTTGTAGGTCCTTATGTGTAGGTCTAATATGTATAAATCATGTATGTGCAGGTCCTGTATGTGTAGGCCTTACGTGTAGGTTATGTGTGAGTCGGTCTTTTAGGTCTTTTATGTGTAGGTGCTGTATGTGTAGGTCCTTAACCCAACACGGGTTGTCACACTAATCCAGTACGGGTTGTCACACTAACCCATCACAAGTTGTCATATTAAGCTAGCAAAGGTTGTCACACTAGGCTAGCACGGGTTGTCACACTAATCCAGTACGTGTTGTCACACTAACCCAGCACGGGTTGTCACACTAACGTAGCACGAGTTGTCACACTAAACTAGCACGGGTTGTCACACTAACGCAGCACGGGTTGTCACACTAAACTAGCACGGGTTGTCACACTAACCCAGAACGGGTTGTCACACTAACCCAGCACGGGTTGTTACACTAACCCAGCACGGGTTGTCACACTAACCCAGAACGGGTTGTCACACTAACCCAGAACGGGTTGTCACACTAACCCAGAACGGGTTGTCACGCTAATCCAGTAGGGGTTGTCACACTAACACAGCACGGGTTGTCACACTAAGGCAGCACGGGTTTTCACACTAAGGCAGCACGGGTTGTCACACTAGGCCAGCACGGGTTGTCACGCTAACCCAGCACGGGTTGTCATATTAAGCTAGCAAGGGTTGTCACACTAACCCAGCACGGGTTGTCACACTAACCCAGCACGGGTTGTTACACTAACCCAGCACGGGTTGTCACACTAACCCAGCACGGGTTGTTACACTAACCCAGCACGGGTAGTCACACTAACCCAGCACGGGTTGTCACACTAGCCCAGCACGGGTTGTCACACTAACACAGCACGGGTTGTCACACTAACCCAGCACGGGTTGTCACACTAAACTAGCACGGGTTGTCACACTAACCCATCACGGGTTGTCACACTAACCCATCACAAGTTGTCATATTAAGCTAGCAAAGGTTGTCACACTAGGCTAGCACGGGTTGTCACACTAATCCAGTACGTGTTGTCACACTAACCCAGAACGGGTTGTCACACTAACGCAGCACGGGTTGTCACACTAACCCATCACGGGTTGTCACGCTAACACAGCACGGGTTGTCACACTAACCCATCACGGGTTGTCACGCTAACACAGCACGGGTTGTCACACTAGGCCAGCACGGGTTGTCACACTAACCCAGAACGGGTTGTCACACTAACCCATCACGGGTTGTCACGCTAACACAGCACGGGTTGTCACACTAACCCATCCCTGGTTGTCACGCTAACACAGCACGGGTTGTCACACTAGGCCAGCACGGGTTGTCACGCTAATCCAGTACAGGTTGTCACACTAGGCCGGCACGGGTTGTCACATTAATACAGCACGCGTTGTCACACTAACCCAGAACGGGTTGTCACACTAACGCAGCACGGGTTGTCAAGCTAAACCAGCACGGGTTGTCACGCTAACACAGCACGGGTTGTCACACTAAGCTAGCACGGGTTGTGACTATAATTAAATTCATAATCAGAGGCGTAGCGAGGGGAGGGGAGCGGGGGGTGAGGACCGTACCAGGTGACACCATTTAGGGGGGGGGGGTGACACCACGGCAAAAAATATCGAGAAAAAACTTGAGGGGGGTCCAAATCGAAAGTTTGAGGTGGGGGGGGGGGGGGGGGTGCAAATCGAAAGTTTGAGGGGGGGGGGAGGTGCTAAGCTACATTAAGTGCCGCACTGGGTTGACACCCGACCTCGCTACGCCACTGTTCATAATGTATATACTTACATAATCTTTTACATACATCTCTTTATATTTATGTGTGTGTGGTGGATATATGTATGTGTGTATCCGTGTATATTTGTGTATGTGTATGTGTATGTGTATGATTTACTACAGGCGGCATGTAATAAATAATCTATCTAAAGCTGTCAAAGCTTGTATACCTTAGTTGCAGGTGAAACCTAACCCTAATCTAAACAAAAAAAAATTTCTTTAACCAAGAAAATATTTTTCGGAGAATTTAACTCCAATTGCTTCATTGTGTCTGGATCAACACGTTGTATTTGTTTACTTAAATACTGTGAGTATAAATATAATCTTGAAGGCACCACTGAACGTTGTTGGGGGATATATCGTGCGCATATTATTATCAAGGGGAGATCAGCGTGAATGGGATGGTTCAGGTCCGGTGCGAATGTCGGTCACGTGACCAGCCAGGGGTGATTGATGGGGCAGAAAATAATTGGCTGATATTTAGCCAATTTTATGCTCGTTTTGATTAATGAGAAATCGTTTGGAAGTCAGGTACAGGTAGGAAGGAAAAAGGTATTAGCTTTAGGATGGGAGAAAAAGGGATCGGGGTTTGATTAAGGTAAAGGGTAAAATGGGGATCGTGGGTTCGAATTTAAGGCCAATTAAAGTGGAACTTTAAGTGTGAACCCCTTGGGATGTATGACGTCATTAAAACTATATTTTGAGGGCATGATGTAATTAATTTCGAATAAAATTGAGTACTAATTATCAAGGTCAATATCTAGTACTAGGTCATATGTTAGATTATATATCGCGCATTCATTAGAAAGGGGAGAAATCTCGTTGGTACAGTCAAATAAAAAGAAAACAGAGAATTGATTTGATATATATTTTGTACAATGTTCATAGAATAAAAGTATTTATTACTTTCCAAATGTCAACAACTTGTTATTTTAAGTTACCATCCGATTTTTTTTTTTACATTTTAGAACTGTATTCCAGAAGTATTATTAGATTAAAAAATAACTAACAGTTTCTGTTACGTAATCAGTTGTGTTATGTAAAGAAAGTCAGGCATAGCCAAATTTAATTTAAAATATGTCAAATATTTATATTATAATCTTAATTAAGTGGCTTCTAAAAGTTATTTTTTTGTTTTGACAGTAAATTTTTTTTTAGTTAAAAAGTAGCTATTGCGTCGAATGATTTTACTCGAGTTTGAAAGGATTTATTTCGCTGATGAAACAGTTTGCCAGCCCTTAAGGTAGAGGACAAGCTGGGACCGGCTTGGTTACCTGGACATAATCGTCTGATGTTGGACAGGTGACTCAGCTGTAGGCGTGAGAAAATGGTTTCTTACATACAGACTTACACCGTCTGCTGTCTCGTTTTCGTGATCGTTTTTTTTTTTTTTTTTTTTTTACCTTTTTTGTTTAACATTTTTTTTTACTTTTTTTTTACATTTTTTTTTAATTAACATTTTTATTAATTTTTTGTCGTTTATTAATGATTGTGGGAAAAATTATTTTCGCAATTATTTACGTAACATGTGTAACTTTTATGTATTTACGAAGTGGTACAAAAATTATTTCACTAATTTAGGTCTAACTTTTTATGTACACATTCTTATAATTGTATTGTTTTTTTACAGCGTTTCAGGTTAAATGTCAATACAAATCGAGACTAAAGTTTCTCTAAAATGTTTGGATACTTTTGAAAAAAATATTTCTAAAAAAGGTTAATTACTTAACATTTCTGTACAAAAATAATTAAGCCTATATTATTACACTGTTTTTGACAAAAATCAACCCGCAGAAACGTTATTTAAAATATTTGTTTTAAGCGGCTTTTAGTGGGAGGGGGAGGGGGGGCCACACCGGGTGACACCATTTAGGGAGGTAACACCAAGGCAAAAAATAGCAAACTATATAGAGAAAAATGATAATTCCACTTAATTAAGTGATTAATTCGATTGTTAGCAAGACTTTTAAGAGCAAATTCGACAAATCCCGACAAGGGTGGAGGGGGGGGGGGGTGCAAATCGAAAAGTTTAAGAAGGGTTGCAAATCGAAAATTGAAAGTTTGTCCCGGGCGCCGGGAAGGGTCGCTACGCCTCTGGGGGGTGACACCATTAAATTCGTCAACGGGTTACACCCGACCTCGCTACGCCACTGCTCAAACACAACATTATGTTGCTCACGATACCTATTACTAAAACCAACAAAGTACTTAATACTTTCAAAAACAACAAGAAAAGTTAATTATTTCTGCATTTTATATTCTTTTCCATTACATCAATTTAAACACAAGTAAAAGAAAAGTAACATCAGGTCAATCCAAATTTAATACATTCTATACATAATTACATGAACAAAATTCTATGTACACAATCCCTCCACGAACGGAAGTGGATTCATAAACCAGGCCAGCCTGATAGAATTCAGGGGCCGTAAACCGATATGAAACACGGTGAAAGACAGATTGAGAACAACACAAATCAGCGGGCTCCTAACATCAACGATTCCGTTTCTATTATACAATATCAACATGAAATTTAAATATTTGACACATATTCACAATTTACATGCAGTTTCAAAAATTAAATAAAAAATCACTATTACCTGCTAAGATATAACAATAATACTAACTTATTGTTTTTTTTTTAAAAACATTTTAATTGTTCGTTTGTTTTTTTTTCGAAAAAAAAAGTATAAATAAAAAATTAATATAAAAATAATTTAAAATTAATTTATATCAATCATAATAATAAAAAATAATTACTAAAGTAGAGCCGAGCAATACGTGTTAAAACAAAATTAATTAATGAACAGCTGATTTGTTGAATCAGCTTCGAGGCGTCGACGGGTTAATCTCCACCTCTATGCTGACGTCACTTCCTTTAAAACTGCCGTCCCCCACGTATTTGATACGGTCCGTTGACCCCAGGGACGAGTCAGTCTCGCTGCTGTCCACTGACGACTGCCGTGAGTAGGGCAGTTCCTTGGTGCTGGTCTCCTGACCCAGGGTGTGGGAACTCTCGTGGGAACTCTCGCGGGAACTCTCGTGGAGACTCTCGTGCGAACTCTCGGAAAGTTCCCGGATGTGATGAGGCACCGTGTGGAAGATGTCGCCGGCCGATAGGCTCTTGGCCAGGGAGCCTTGAACTTCTGGGTACTTGAAGGTCACTTTACTGCCCTTGTGGGTCACCACGGGTAGGCTGCCGTTCCTTTTTTGGGGAGCTGTAAAAATTGTAATAACTGTTAGTTTGTGAAGGGGAGATAACTGGTGCTGGGAATCCAGAAGGGAAATAATCAGTGTTTCTTTCAGGGGTGGGGAGTACTTGGGTGGACACTGGTAAAAGTATATGTTTTCTATATAAATTCCATTTAGTTCATGGGGGTGGGGGAGTGGGGCCCCGCCCCCGAAGAGATGCCTGGAAGAAACTCTGGAGATGATCACTGTAAGAAAGTCAACGGAAGAAAGTGTAGGAAAGTTTAAAGAGGGGAGTAATGTGTAACTAAGTTAATAGGAAGTGTGTGTTGTATGGTTAAAAGGGGTGTGTACAAAGACTAAAATGGAGCTTTGAGAAAGCTAAAAATGAGATTAATGTGTAAGAAAGTAAAAAGGGTGGTGTAATTTGTGAAAGTTAAAAGCGAGGCTTAATGTGTGGGGATTGAAGAGTCAAGTACAAGATTTAAGAAACAAACTTAAGATTTAAGGTATAAGATATTTAAAATAATGACGTATGTAAGAAAGTTATAATGGAGATGTAATGAGGTAGATGAAGTAGAGTAACTCACAACTAGAGGTCGACCTCTTCTCGTTGGCGTGGTTCTCTCTATGCTCCTTCAGTGTGGCGAGAGAAGGCTTCTTGGTGCTTAGACAGACTTCCTTCTCTTCACACAGACATTCCATATCGATACGAACTTCACCGTTTTCATCAAACTTTAAATTTTGTGCCTGTCGATGAAGAAGTAATTACATCAAATACGTGATTACATTTCATCAAACTTTAAGTTTTGTGCCTGTCGATGAAGAAGTAATTACATCAAATACGTGATTACATTTCATCAAACTTTAAGTTTTGTGCCTGTCGATGAAGAAGTAATTACATCAAATACGTGATTACATTTCATCAAACTTTAAATTTTGTGCCTGTCGATGAAGAAGTAATTACATCAAATACGTGATTACATTTCAACCAGTTTTAATAATAGTTTGTTAAAGCATATCAGATATGTGTTATGCTTCCAAGGTACCGTTGTCCACCTCCCTCTCCCTCGGGTATAATGGATAAATGTGCTAGTTAAGAAGAGTCATGCAGCTAGGCACTAAATCTTTGATATACCAATGTCATAGAATCAGATAAGCTATACTTTATCTGGCATACGCATGATTAGTTCTGGAAGTGCAATTTATAATTTGTGTGCAGTTTGTAAAATTTACATTTGTGTAGGATAAACTACATAACAAATGTCGCGGTGCTTTAGAATACACAATTTAAAAAATCAAACGAAAAAAGTTATATTCCTTTAGAGTGGTACTAATTTTAAATGATTTAACATTTAACCAATAGGACTGGGATGTAGGTCACCAAGCAGTTCTACGGCTCAATAAAACCTGCATGAGACATAGAACTGTTTATTGACCTACTTACCAGCCCTTTTTGTAAAGACCCGTATCACGATTTGCTTACCTTTTCCTCTGGTTTAAACAGTGGGTTGACTTTGACGCCGTTGGATCCCTCCTTAATGGAGGACTTGGGCGTCAGGTCGCCTAAACTTAGACTCTTCTGGAAGTTTTCGTTGAAGTAGCTCTGCTTGCGGCTGGGTTCCAGAAAGATGCTGCCCCGGCGGTCGTTGGGTGGGGGCACCACGGAGCCCCTCCGGTCCATCAGGAGGTTGGGGTTGCTGGCCCTGAAGTCTTCACAGAACTGGCAGGGGAAGCAAGTCACCATACATTAGGTAATATCACACCATATCAGAACATACAGCAAGTATTTTACTAAACCGAAATGTCATTTCCTCATAGAGTGATGGCGTAGCCAATAGCTAACACGAAAGTCTAGTATTTACTTTCTGAGCTCCGTTATTGTGTACCTGAGCCTACTCAGCTCTAAGGAGTACCTGGTACGAATCGGGGAAAACCGAATCGGTTCGCCCAGGCTTAAGTTTAAGTACAGAACCCCATGTACAACATCTCAGATCAACTCTACTTTATCTACTCTAAAAACCATCAGGTATAACAATTCTATACTTATATATAATCAGTAATTGAAAGAAAATCTCTTTAATACTTTTTTTCTCACCTCAAAGGTGTCGTCATCGTCGAGCGTCTCCAGGTGAAAGAATTCTGAAATCGTTTTAGACGCGCACTGGTCCATGACGAACAGCACAACTCCAAGACAAGAGGTTAGAATACCTGCAGACAAGATCATAGGTATCTCATTAGTTTTTCTACTGTTTTCACTGTATTTTATGTAAGGAGAGTAGAATTCTAACATGACAAACAACACAGCTCCAAAACAAGAGGTAAGAATACCTGTATACAAGACAATTATTGTCATTTCGTTTTTTAACTTTATTTTTTTAATTCATAGTTTTGGTTGGAAACGACATCCCATACACAAAATATATGACATAAATTATGTGTATGTTATCAGGAACAGTACTTTCAATTAGCAGTCCCATTATGTTAACATTTTTTAGTGTTTTAAAATAGTAATTTAAAATCTTTTGTGTAGTTCCGTGAGAATTTTGATTAGTTCTTCTAGTACACCTAATTATCTGTGTATATTGACGTCTTATGATTTTATTTAATTATTGTTAATTGTTATCTAAGTACTTTACGCTATTGTCCACATAGCTTCTATTCAGGCATCTATTGAGGGGAACGGGACTCTTTCAGGCATATCTTCTGAAGCACGTCTACCCCCCCCCCCCCACCTCCCCCCCCCCCCCCCCAGAAAAAAACATCTGAAAGAAACACCAAATGTCCCACCTGACGCCAGAGTGAGCCAGAAGCACCAGCCGTACACCATGATCAGGTTCTCGTCCTCGAAGCAGACGACCAGGGGTAGGCGGGTCTGGCAGGTGTGGTAGGTGACGCAGGCCAGGATCATGGCGGCGCCCGTCAGGAAACACATGTAGGCCCCGTACACGATCACGCTGAACAGGAGCACGTTGGTCACGATCCAGAAGGCAAAGGCCGTCCTGTGGGTTCAAAGGTCACAGTACAGTTGGGTGTGTGTGTTGGGGGGGGGTGTTATGGAGTATTGGTTCCTGGGGGGGGGGGGTGTTACGGTTTAATGTTGTTCTGGATTTCAAAGGTCAGAATACAGATCTGAGAGAGGGGGTGTTATGGTGTAATGGTGTTCTGGGAGGTTCAAAGGTAGAGTACAGGTGTATGTGTGTATGAGGTGGGGGTGTTATGGGGTAAAGGTGTCCTGGGATGTTCAAAGGTTTAAGGCATGCGTTTGTGGGTGTTCTGATGATGGGATTATGGGGTAATGGTGTTATCTGGTAAGGGTGTTATGAAGAATTCAAACTTGAATAGCAAAGGTGTGTGTTGTGATGGTGTTCTTGGGTTGCCGACGGTAAATCAATGATTACATTATATGACTAGTCACATGACTAGCATATACTATGGGTTTCTTGATGTGGTGAACCAGTGGTACTTTGATGGGGAATTGTGTAAATAAATCAAAGTTAGATCAAAACGATTGATCGCTTAAATATCAGATAAATTAATATTTATAAACAATATCAAATTCAATTATGATCATACATATGTAATAATACGCGTTTTACTCACTCTCACACTTCACACTATTGTATGTGTATTTCTATCTATATATGTATAAACCATGTATGCATATCTGTATGTAATTATGGGATGTACTTACCATAGTAAAGCTGAAGCGTATTGACCAGCCGTGTGAAACGAGCGACCCCATCTGAAATCTCCTTCGTCTACAGTTAGGAACTCCATGACCTTAAGGATGGGGGCGGGCAGACCCCTCTTTAGGAAGTAGCCAAACCTCTGGTACTCTTTACCATCTGGGGAGAGCAGGTTTAACGTTATCCACGGTTGATACGGTTTAACCATAACCACAAATGACAAGGGTCAACGTTAACCCCAACTTCAAAGGCTTAAATGACAAGGTTTAGCGTTAACCACAGCTGATACGGTTTAACTTGAAAAGTTTAACGTTAACCACGGCTGAGAAGTTTCAACGTTAACCCCGACTTGAAAAATTTAACGTTAACTCAAACTGATAAGATTTAATGTTAACCGCAAATGTCAAGGTTTAACACTAACCCTAATTGACAAGGGTAAATGCAATCCCTAAAGGCCAACGTTTAGCGTTAACCAAAACTGACTAGTTTTAACGGTACCCCTAATTGGCACGGTTTAACGTCAACTCAAAGTGGCTAAATAGCTACAAGGGTAAAATGCGCGCTAATATTTGTTTCGTTTCTTTAAAGGCGTCTCATTTCGTTGATTGCAATTTGTTGTAGCTGGCTGAACCAGGTTAAACATGAAAACTATTGAAAATTGTGGAACTACGGTTCAGGTTATGATTTGGGTCATGTACGGACTCGAAGAATCGATTCCAGAGCAAACAAATACGACGATACCGGCATACCGAAACGATAAAAATACAGTTGGAAGAGTAAAGGTTTGGGTTTAAATTTCCGAATGTTTGAGTTAGCTGTGAGCGATGACCCGTCACCAGAGAAATAGAGCAGTGAACCTAATGACCTCGGCGACATTTTTCAACCCCTGACACAAGAAAACCGGGGTGACCTTTACGTTTGACCTAAGCCAGACGTGGGGTGGGGGAGGGAGGTTTAACCAGCCAATCAAATTGACAGCTTGCACCTTTCAGTGACAGCTCGAATGTTTTTAAATTTGCGTCACGTAGTTGGGGGGGGGGGGGGAGGTGTGGAGGAGGAGAAGGGGTGGAGGGGGAAGGTGTGGTGTGAATGGGTGTGTGGGTGGGGGAGGGGAGAGGTGTCTCAACCAGGCTTTAATGAGAAAATGTCCATCCGCCCAAGTTAACAGAATGTGAACATTCTAAAGTGACGGTTCTAATATAAATTTCTAAACAACCAAAAGAACGCCGATTCTGGAAAAAAATCCGTTTTCAATGACATTTTTTTTCCGGTTAAATTTGAGGTTGAGGTGGTGATTTTGGTTTTGGTTTCGATTTAGATAAAAAGACAACACTAAAAGTATCAAGCTAGTGCCCGTTGAATCTCTCCCTCAACGGGCCTTTTGTCTCGTTATAGATAAAAGTAGTTTTATCATAAAGTAGCAATGTTTGAATTACAAAAGTAGTTTTATCATAAAGTAGCAATGTTTGAATTACAAAAGTAGTTTTATCATAAAGTAGCAATGGTTAACTTACAGTCTGCCCAGGGCATGCTCTCGGCGTAGTAGACATAGCCTTCATCGACCTGTCCTTCATAGTAGCCTGATGGTGACAAAACAAATACACATATACACAAATACACAAATAACATATTCATATCTTCACCATAACATTACATATCTGTAAACAAGAGAGGACTCCGATGTCCTTCACCTATGTATGTGGTCATGGCATGGCTCTATCTCTACTCTCCCTAATTAGTTCCAGGTACCCATTATAGCTGAGTAGCTCACGTAAACTCTGGACACAGTTGCAATCAAGCAATCAAATTTAAATATCGTTTTTTTTTCTCTTTTGTTTTTACAAACTTGGGTGTGGAAGAGAGGCGACAATTTTTGTTATATACATAATTATGACGTGGAAAAGAGTATTTCAAAATCCATCACTTGAATTATGAACTGTACGCTAGAGTATGAGAACCGCTGTAGGGTACAGTATGATAACCCCTGTATGGTATAATATGAGAACTCTCTGTATTATATAGTATGAGAACCCCCTGTATGGTACAGCATGAGAACCCCTCGTAGGGTATAATATGAGAACCTCCCGTATGGTACAGTATGAGAACCCCCTCCCCGTAGGGTACAGTATGAGAACCCCCTGCATGGCACAATATGAGAACCCTCTGTATGTTACATTTCGAGAACCGCTGTATGGTACAGTATGCCAACCGCTGTACTCACCATCTAAGGTGACGTTGGCACTGCTGAGCCCCACGGTGATGCCCACGTAACCCTCGAAAGGCTTGCTGTTCCTGTAGACGTAGTTGGTCTTGATCTCCACCTCACCATACTGCCAGCAGTGGCCGTACAGGCAGACTAGGGGATAGACAGACATGGGGGTTATATGGAGGCAGACAGACTAGGGGATAGACAGACAAACAGGGGGTTATATGGAGGGCAGGCAGACTAGAGGATAGACAGACATGGGGGTTATATGGAGGGTAGGCAGACTAGGGGATAGACAGACAAACATGGGGGTTATAGGGAGATAGGCAGACTAGGGGATAGACAGACACACAGGGGGTTATATGTGGGGCAGGCAGACATTGGAGTTGTATGGTGAAAGACTTGTAAAGGTCATCTTATTAGGGCAGGCAGACTAGGGGACAGACAGACTAGGGGATAGACAGACTAGGGGACAGACAGACTAGGGGACAGACAGACTAGGGGACAGACAGACTAGGGGACAGACAGACTAGGTGACAGACAGACTAGGGGATAGACAGACTAGGGGACAGACAGACTAGGGGACAGACAGACTAGGGGACAGACAGACTAGGGGACAGACAGACTAGGGGACAGACAGACTAGGGGATAGACAGACTAGGGGATAGACAGACTAGGTGACAGACAGACTAGGGGATAGACAGACTAGGGGACAGACAGACTAGGGGACAGACAGGCTAGGGGACAGACAGACTAGGGGATAGACAGACTAGGGGACAGACAGACTAGGGGACAGACAGACTAGGGGATATACAGACACAAATGGGTTATATGGGGGCACAGACTAGAGGTAATACAAACATGGGTTTTTATATTCGGACAGACAGACACGTCGTTATATGGGAGCAGGCAAACTAGCGTGACAGACAAGCCTGTACAGGTGGGGGGAGGGTCGGAACCAATTGACACCATTACCAGAAACTACTTAAAGACTCACCAAGCAAAATGGAGCCGATAGCGACTGAGTACGATGCACGAATGGCTGCCGACCATCTCTGTAAAAAAAATATTTAAACATTGAATCTATTAAGTCGTAAACAAACTATAATCTTAAATCACATTCGAGATGGTTCGTCAAGTTTTAAAACAACACTAATCTAGGGGCCATAACCTGTGATTATGTTCGGTCAGTCAGGGCCCATAACCTGTTAGTTTGTTTGGTTGCATCTGTGTTGTTTTCTTTTGTTCCCTTTTTTGTGTTCATTTTGTAAATTTAAAAGTATTTAAAAATGCTTTAATTAGGTGAAATAATGCCTACATTTATGAAAAGAACGCGGGCTAAATCATTTCTTTAATTGAATTATTTAAACGTTCGAACACACATAAATAGAATAATTTTATACTTGAAAAGTAGATTTCGAAATGATTTTCAATCACTAAGTTAAACGATATTAATGATCCAACATAATGTTGATTACCAACCTGCAAGATTTTGAAATCATTGGGAAAAAAAGTTGACTACCAACCTTTTTGTTTTGTTCGAGTAATTGAAAATCTCGAAAGATTAAATCTCTCACTATGTTATTACTAATCCGCGTGTAAGAAAGATAACACAAGCATTAATAATTTAAAGAAACTCAACTTACCTCCCTTCCTCGAATTCCGAGTGTGGCAATGAGCGTTGCTATGGCAACCAGAACACAGCAGTAGGTGACAGCTAGAAGCGGAATGTCGAAGCTGACCGCTGTCCTGGTGTCCGGGTAGGACATGAAGCCATAGCCGTTGCGAAACTCTCTAAACCAAGTCATTCTGCAGATGAGAAAAAATTATTTTCCGTGTTAATTTTTTTTTTTTTTTTTTTGTTAAAACTAAAGTTGAATTTTACTGGCGATATGATAAACATTAACTTAATAGCAAAAAATTTCTTTTACTAAAAAAACGATAAAATATTTAATTTAATATATCATACCTATTTGAATGTTTATATATTATAGTTGTATAAAGCTATGAGAAATGGCCGAGAATGAGCAACAGCACAACTATAACCCGCTTATAAAAGATTCAGCTTAGCTGTCACAATCTCTACACCTACTGCAAAACCTAATGTCAATTTGTGACAAATTTGTTTGATCGCGAGAGTGACGTCACGGCTATAAATAACGACACCGCTTCCTCGTGCCGTTGCGCGCGCGCTCCATTAACGGTCGTCTGCGTGCGTGTTTTTATTTCCGGGATGCGCGCGGCAAGTTTGATGCAGACGTGAAGTTGTCTACCAGACGACTGAGCTGTTGGTTGGTCAACAATTGACTCGGTTGGTCAACAATTGACTTGGTTGGTCAACAATTGACTTGGTTGGTCAACAATTAAGTAAGTTGGTCAACAATTGACTTGGTTGGTCAACAATTAAGTAAGTTGGTCAACAATTGAGTTGGTTGGTCAACAATTCAGTTGGTTGGTCAACAATTAATTTGGCTGGTCATTAGACCAGGATTAGACTATTGGCGATTGAAATAGATCATTCCATTTTACAAGCTTAAAATAAAGTAGCTATACTATTTAACAGATATAAAATTGACTACACCTTTTTTACAATAACGTAAATAATTTGTTTTTCAAATTTTCACTTCTAAGATAATTTCATTTTACAAATAAAAACAAATATAACCAAGAATCAAGTAACTTATTTCTTTCACATCCAAGATATTTTACACCCAGTAGATGGGTGTGATACCAGTCGTTTGCTCCCCAGTGTTCTCAAAGGAATTATTTAATTCAGTGTACATCTTGAGTCGTATGTGCTAAAACCCTTGAATGGAGCACCATAAACAAAAAAACTAGCTTCTACTCTAAGCATTCTTAGCTCTGCCAGTAAAACGACAACATAATGTGTACGTTATGAAAGAATCACTAGTGTCCAATACTGGACGGTAACATACCATTTTCGTACTGGAAAAATATCTTTCCTGATAAATTTTAGCTGTTCTATATTGGTTACATAAAACTATATTCGGAAATATAATCTTTCACGGAGAAAAATGCAAATGACTGCAAAAAATAAATAAATCTTGCCCTTCTAAATTTTAAACAAAATAATGATGAAAATATTAAATAAATAAATTATATACTTAGCCCATGGGAAATCTTCAATACAGTGAATCTAAATAGGAATATTTTTTTACGATTGATTTTTTTTTTAATCAACAACCCACGAAGATATAAATGTTTACCTAAATCCGTAACTAAGTTCAATCTATCCCAGGCCTAACCGGCAAATTGATCGCAAGCCTCCCTTGTGGTCTGAACTATATCGGCAGATAGCGGGAGAAAATCCTGGCTGGTTTAAATAAGGACCAACGCCGCGAGGGGACTGTATCCTGATCACACACCTCGCCGGTAAATCCGTTACCGTAAACTGCTAATTTTCTACCTTCGAAAAGTACATTTTAAATAATCAAAGTACTTCAAGAACGGTTGTTTTTGTTTGAATCAGCACTTCAAGCGTCATTAGAATGTCATATGTTAAATATAATAAAATTTTAATTAGTTAGGTATTCTACTACTAATGTAGTAAAAATATTCACTTAAAATAAGAAATGGAACCTTTATTCAACAAGTGGAGGAGGGGTGGGGTGGAAAAATTAATAATAACACGAGGTCCTAAAGTGAAGCCCCCCCCCCCTCCCCCCAATCTTAATTAAACAAAATCAAGCAGTTGCTTGTATTATTTCATGCGTGACAAAACGGCAGCAACTTTTAATTAATTTACACCAGTGGGACATCTATGAAGGCTTTTTATGTAAGAATGTGTGCATTTAGAACTACGCCAATATATATTCAAATCTACATGTTTTAGTTCACAAAACTCTTTATTTATTTGGGATTTTTTTTAATGGGGGGTGGGGAGTTTAAACCTACATTCACATGCTTTTAAATTTAAAAATTTCTCTTTTATAAACGTGTACACTATTAGATTTTACAGTAACCACGCGCTATATCTGGCGATTACGTTACCGGATACACCGAAACTAAAACAGGACGAAACGCCAGCGCTGGTAAATACGTACACGGCTTATGCAACGACGAGCTCACGGTGTAGGTGAAGTAGAGTTTGCATGAAAATTATACGGACATTGGCGGAGCGGGCGGGGGGGGGGGTCGTCAAGTTCGACCGGGGCACTAGGCTGACAGATTTCCGGGGCCCCCCAGTAACTGTCTTAGCACAATTACAATTGAGTTTAGGTTCCGCTCTCGGAAAATATTTCGTGGCCCTAACGTTCATCTGACCCTGTGTTTAGTTCTGTCCGGTCCATCCTAATTGGGTAACTGAGGTGGAGTAGAGTCGATCTGTTTCTTCAATGAAGGGATGCGAGTTATGAAATGTTTATATGTCTAAGAGATCGCTAATCGTTGTTTATTTTTAAAGTGTAAATATTCTGAAACCTTTAAAAAAGCTTGTAATTTTAGTAAAAAATTTAGAATATTCAAACAAATATGTCAAATGTCGCTATTTTTAATTTTTAATTTTAAATGCAAAATCCAGTTTAAATACTACTTATTAAAATTGTCAGTTTATTAATTAAAATCGTTATTTTAATATCGAGCAGCTAGATTTAAAGCAGGAATCATACGCTGCTATTTAGTTGTTTTATTTTCTACTTTTCAGTAACTCATAATTTAAATGCTGCCACTGAAAATATTTGCTTTAAAACACTAAAACCCTCCTTTCTCCCAACCCCCCCCCCCCCCCCCCCCGTGAAAACAGCCTCCTCTTAGTTACCTCCCTAAGTTTAAAATCGTTTCAAACTAAATTATCTGCCCCTAATAGCCGTCACTAAACCCGGCTCTACGATTGTAAACATTTAGCGTGAACCACAGCTCACCAGACCACGTCGGGGTGGGTGTTGTAGCGATACGCCTAGAGAGGAAGAGAGGGGGCTGTTAGGAGGCACGCTTACAGCTTGGTGTTTTCTATGGTCTCCAAGAAGAGAATTATATATATATAAATAATAAGATTATGTTAAGTCACACCAATGCCCCGTGCTTTAATTAATTAATACTTAATTTTTAATTGATAAACCAACTAAGACATTTTAGTTGTAAGATTTGATGAGGTATAAGAAAGTATTGGTCATGCAGGTCATTAGGACACTAATGTCGGCACTGATCTAGGTCTGGTCCTATTAAGTCGCCACATCCTCAGAACGTGTAGATTCCAATAACTGCGAATTTCGATTTCAAAAAAAAAGATCCTTAAACTTCCGAATTCACATATATGTGGGGGATGAATCACATTAGGATATCAACAGGAAAAATTTGGGCGCTATTTTTAGATGTTTGGTCCAGATTTAGTCGCGTTTTGAAGAAAGGCCAGAATTCACCCCCCCCCCCCCCCCTGCCCTCCCGCCTCGTCCCTGTATATGAGTTTTCTGTGACCCACATATCGTCGTCTGCTGTCTGCGGGTTTGCCAGCAGACGGCTGAAGTGTGAGGCACTGTATACCTGCAGTGTTTAAATCGAGGCTAATTTAGCGTGAGTCATATCCACAGAGGCCGTGTTCAGGTGTAATTACATCTTTTTATAATGAAGCGGATATGGGCTCACAGGATTACGTTAAGCCGCTAAGCTACAACACAAAAGATTATAGGATTAAGGTTGTTTTCTACCCTGCTGCACAATAATGGACAGCCAAATGATAAAACCGGTCGCTCAACTGGTTCTCAAAAACAAACAAAGCTCACTTTATAGCCGGTAACGATAATTTAAGCCTTAGATTTAACGGTAGGATTAGGGCTGTGTTCTGACTCAAGGTTAGATCCAGGATAAAATTTTAAAATACATTCAACACGAACAAAATTTAATTGGGTGATCCCATTGTAAGTTTTAAGTACTAGATTTTAAAAAAAAACGATGACTTTTAATCCAAGATTTTCCTCATAACGAATAAACAAATAGAATAATAAACATTATAACGCGAACAGAAATTTTGTTGAAGCGAAATAATGTAAATACACTTAAATTACGGGGCTGATTTGAGAATGCCCTTAGAACTGATTATTCAATTACGTAGGCATATATGAGCTGCATAATTGTGAACCAATAGCAGCTATTTAAAATTAGCCTCCTTCAAGTTTAATGACAAGTCGGTAAAGGCAAATGTAAACATTTCCTCTCTTTCTCTCTCTCTCTCTCTCTCTCTCTCTCTCTCTCTCTCTTTCTCTATCTCCCCCCCCCCCCCCACCTCACACACTTATACCCATCTAAGCACACACAAGACACACAGATACACACACACACACACCGCCTATTAGTAAAGTATCGTGTAAACACAACTTCACACTCTATCAATGGCTATAAGTAGAGTCATTGAACTCGACCCAGTGCAAGGCAATGGATCAGCGGCAGTAACTCGCCTAACTCCCTATTCCAGAGTACTTCCCCCTTGCTATGCTGTTGACAGACGATGTGGTATTTGTCTTTCCCAGTCAGGACCAGGATCAAGGACTGGCGATTTCTTCTGGAACATTCTCTGAGCGGGACATTCCATCTTCTGTCAGGAAAATATTGTCCCAGGTCCGACTTCATATGAGGAAATGTTTTGACCAGAGTGCACTATTGTAAATCAACAGTCACTCCGAGTCATAAAACTCCCCATCCCTGCCCAATGTTATGTTACTAATCCCTTATATTTTAGTTTTCTATTAAACCTAAAACAATATTAGAAACACTTAACTTGATGTCGACGATTTTTCTTAACCATAACCCTAACAATAATCCGAGGATTAGCCTTAACACAAGCTAATCATAACACCAGGACAGCCTATATATCACACAGAATACAAGTGGTTCAATTACAAATATCAACAACAGAAAACTACACTTTTGGCAATCATTATCTGATGAGTGGTGTTTTATCGCGTCTGTGTTTTATAAGGAATTTTAGATCAAATGCTTAAGGTGTTCAATTTGCATAATTAAATGTGGAAAAAAAGAAACTAAATCCGTTATCAAAATAGGGGATAACCAGCTAAAAATATTCTTTGTCAAGTGGGACTGTGTTTATAAAACAACACATACGGATA